CCAGCATTTGAGTTGTCTCTAGTGCCCCTGTTGCTGAAGAATCTTCAGGATATTCTCCAAAAGCTCTGCTGCTTTCCCAAGGAGCAGAGTATGTTGTCCCTGAGGTGTCTGTCCTTTCCCATGTGCCAGCGTGTGGTGCATTGGTCACTTGTGGTTCAGAGGAGTGAAACCCTGAGGGCTGCCTGGCACAGACTCCTCTTAGGGCCCCGTGGGGCCACAGTGCACCTAGAAGTGAAGGCTTGCCTTTCTTCTTGCCCTGGTGCCATTAAGAAGGACTCTGGGTGGGAACTTTAGTGGAGTTTGGCAGTTTGGGGCATGAAATATTACCCCTTGTGTCACCAGTGGTGTGGGCAGCAGGCCTGACAAGCTCTCTCCCCCAGGAACGTGTGGAGGCCGTGAACATGGCCGAGGGCATCATCCACGACACGGAGTCCAAGATGGAAGAGTTCAAGGATCAGCTGCCAGCAGATGAGGTAGGTGGCTCCTGATCCTGGAGTGCTATAGCACATGAAATTCCTCACATTGCTCACATTCCCACTGAACTCTCAGCTGGATCTGGCCAGTGGCTCCAGCTCTGGCCGTGTTTCCATGCTGGGTGAAGGTGGTACAGCCCTGCACCTCTGGCTGTGGCCCTCAATGGGAGGGGTGAGTGTGGCTGAGGGGAGGATGGACAGACATCCTTAGGGGAACAGGGTTGGGTGCTGGCAGATAACCCTTTGCAAAGTGCAGGGTGGGTGTCACTGAGGCTGCGAGTGCCTGGGACTGCTGCTGAGAGGTTTGTGACAGAGCTGCGGCCTTGGCGTGGCCTTGCAGTGCTGTGATAAGGGCTGTGCCAGGGCTGGCTCCCCAGGGGGCTTGGCTCCAAGGCTGGAGATGGTGGACAGTGCCTGCCTTTGTTAGCACGGGGACAGAGGCAGAGCTGCTGTGCTCTGGCAGTGCACGCACAGTGCCCAAGAACCTGGGGGCAATAAATAGTAATCAGCATCCACCTAACTCCAGCTTTTCTCTCTTAGAAATTAAATGGATATTTAATATCCAGGAGTGCTTTTCACACCACCCTAAGGTGGTGAACTGTGAATTTCAAAAGCCAAGTTTAGAAGAGTGTGCCCAAATAACAAATTTAACAATTCTGGGAAGCAGAATTAAAGGGCTCCTGGGGGCTCTGAGGTGTCTGAGGGAATGCAGTTTGTTGGTAGCAGCCTCTGGTCAGTTAAGGGCTATTTCTCTGCCAGCAGACAGGGACAGGACAAAGGGCAGTGGTTTTAAACCCTGTGAGGATGGGAAGCCCTGGCACAGGGTGCCCAGAGCAGCTGTGGCTGCCCCTCGATCCCTGGAATTGTCCAAGGCCAGGTTGGACAGGGCTTGGAGCAACTTGGTTGAGTGGCCATGGCAGGGGGGTGGCATGAGGTGATCTTTAAGGTCCCTTCCCACCCACAGCATTCTGTCTGATACTGGCTGGCTCTTTCTTTGGAACTATGTGAGTTTCCTCTCCCTAAATCCCTGTTCCCTGCAGGGACTGTTTGCTGTGACTTCCCTGGGTAGGTGGGACAGCCTGTGCTGATGGTGGCCGTCACTGCTGTCCCCATTCTGTGCCCAGGAGCCCTCTGGGCAGGGGAGGAGGCAGTGCCAGCCTGGGCAGGGGCTGAGATGGCTCTGGGCCTGCTCTGTTGGTTTGCTCTGAGCTGCTGCTCCGTGGGCAGCCCTGGGACTGACCGGGGCAGGGTCAGCCCTGCTTGCCAGCTCCCCAGCAGGGCCTTAAACACCCATGGAGACCAGCTTGGTGTGGCTGCCCTGGCATGGCTGTGCCAGGTGAGCTGTGCCAGGCTCAGAGCATGGCCTTGGCCAGCTGTCAGGCCCTGCAGGGCTCTGTCCTTGGCACCTCTGCCCAGACAGCAAACAGGGCCCCATTAATGCCAACTGGGACACTGTTAGTGAAGTGGACAGGTGCCCACTGGGAACTGGGCACAGTCCTAGGCCCTGCAGACTTACTTTGAGGCTTAGCTTCATGGCTTCTGGCACGAAAAGGTGGTTTTGCTGTGGCCAAGGTGGTGAAATGACAGGATGGAGATTAACAGTTCACCAATTTCACCTTTGTGTCTTTTTTGCAGTGCAACAAATTAAAGGAAGAAATTGCTAAAATGAGAGAACTTCTGGCTCGTAAAGATAGTGAAACGGGAGAGAACATCAGGCAGGCAGCCACCAGCCTGCAGCAGGCTTCCCTGAAACTCTTTGAGATGGCATACAAGAAGGTAGGTGCATGGCCAACTCCCTTTCAGAGCCCTCACATGGGGAGGGGGGAGTCAGGACACCAAACTTTTGGGTGGGAGGTGGTGCTGGGCCTCTGCAGATCCCCCTGAGTGACACTGGCTGAAGGGGAAGCTGTGGAAGGTCAGGGAGAGTTGAAGGCCTGAAATCCTGGCCATGCTTCCAGGCTGGGTGTTCCGTTACTGTACAGCATTCCATGAAAAAGGGGAAGCTTCTAGTAAGGAGCATCCAGGAGAGCAAGGAGAGGGCTTTCCCCTCAGTGCCTGAAGGAGTAAAGTAACTCCAGAACTTACTCCATGATGATTGTAAAACACGATTCCTGTTCAGTATGCCTGAAGCCACAGTAAAGGCCATTGGGATTTTCTTCTCCACCTCCTTCCCAGTGGAAGGCCCTCCCACCCACTGGCACCTGGCCAGGCTGTGCTTTCCTGTGCAGGAAGGTGTCCCAGCATGGCTGTGGCACGGTGCCCAGGTGACCTTGGTGCTGAGCTGTCCTTACTGGGGACAGCTGCTTTCCTGATGTCAAACCAAACCTTCAGTGCTGCACTGGCAGCCTATTCCATCCCCGGGGAAAGGGAATAATGGGAAGATTGTTTCCTCCCTCTCAGAGCTCATGCAGAGATGAAGATTTCCCTTCTCAGTGGACGTTGCTCATTGCCCTGAAGGAGGGTTCTCCAGGCTGGAGCTGACCTGAGCAGCCAGCCAGGGAAAAATGGCCAGGAGAAGCAGTTTGTTGTTACCACGAGTAATAAACCCGTTTGTTCACAGATGGCCTCGGAGCGAGAGGGTTCTGGAAGTCCAGGAGATCAGAAGGAAGAGAAGCAATAAGGAGACTCTGTCTTGCCTTGACGAGAGAATGATGAAGAGGTCGATTTTCTTGATGCTTGGGAGAGAAGGGACCTTCCTGAGCAGCAAGGGGCAGAATTCAGACTTACTGTGTTTTTGCAGTATTCTAAATATAAAATTCTTCAATGTATAAACTTAGTGATGTGTCTGCTAGATAAATTGTCACTTGATGAAACTTAATTCATGCCAGATAAAGTTAGGAGTTTGGCCCTGGTGTGTTCCCCTGAGCACCTGGGGGGACTGGCTGATCATTTAATACTTGACACAACGGTGTAGTAAATCCGAGATCCAAGCTTGGAAACCATGTCATGAAATTGGAGGGTGGAGATGGGAATGTCTGGGAATGGGGAGGAGAATAAGGCCTGCATGGCCCCTCCATGTGGGTCTGAGGAGCTGGGGGCAGGTGGAGGCCTGTGAGCAGCAGGGGCAAGGCTGGGACTTCGCTGGAGACCATTTAGCCCTGAGCTAGGCTGGTACCTTTGTTCTGAAGGAAAGGGGCTACTTCAAACTCAGCTGTAACATTATTTCTTACAAAAGAGGCAGTGTGGAAGTTCAATACTTTGCTTGTCTGAGCCTTCTGCTCCATCCTGTGTCTGTTCTCTGCTTATGGTAAAACAGTTTCCTTGATAATAAAACTGTTACTGGATCCATTCTGGATTTTTTTAAAATAAAAGCAGAAAAGTGTCCAATGTGGAGTTCCCGGTCTCCTGGCCTTTGATGGAGAATAGAGCACTTTAGTGCCTGTGACAGCTGCAGAGGGAGAGTCAGGCAGCTGTAACTTTGTGAAATTTCTGCTTCATTCACAGGCACAGGAGCTTTCTGGTGTAAGGTTGGGCTCTTCTGAGAGTGTCAGTGCTGCTCTCCCGGGGTGCCCCAAGTCCTATGCCTGCAGTAGCAGTGGGCCTTCACCCTCAGGCACTTTGTGCTTGGGCTTAGCCTTACAAAACAGGCTCCAGGCTTAAGCAGCACTTGCCTTCTGTCCTTCCAGCAGCCCAGCCTTCCAGGGAGCTGCATAAAAGTAGCTGTGTCTCCCTCCTTTTTCAGCATCTCTGGGACTCTGTGTCTCTTCAACTAGAATGAAAACCGGGTTTGCAGCTGCTTTGTCCTGCCAGCTCAAGTATGAGCAGGCAGGAAAAGGATGGGTTTTGTTCTGGGGCTCGACAGCTTGTACGGGGGAGGACAGAGGTGGCCCAGAGTGTGACCAGGAACAGTGAGTGGGTTCATTAAAGGAAAGTCATGTCTCGCCCATGAGCTTGCTTCCCACAGTGGAACCCCTCCTGGGTGCGTGAGGGGAGAGCACTGGACGTTGTTTCGCCTGGCTTCAGCAACGCTCTGGCGCTTTCTCGGGTGGAATCCCCGTGGGCAGAGCCGGGCACTGTGGGCTGGCTGAGGGGACAGCCCGGAGACCTTTCCTGAGCGGTGTCCCCCAGTGTTCAGCACGGGGCACTGATGATTTGGGGAAGGGGGAATCAGTGCGATTTCTCCGGTGCCACAAAGCCCCCGAGGGTGGCACGCCCAGCCCTGAGCAGCCTGTGCCGAGAGGCTGTGGCGTGTGCCTCCCTGGGGCTACTGCGGTGCAGCTGCAGACCCTGCGGTGCTGTGACGGAGCGGGGCCGCTGCCGCTGTCCCCAGGGCCGCGCCCGCCCGTCCCCTCTGCGCCCGCCGCCCCTCGCGGGCCCTTTGAGCGCGCGCGGGCCGTTCCGCGTCGCTCTCGCGAGATCCGCGCTCTCCCTCCCCGCCCAGCCGGTCCGTCCCCGGACTACGCGCCCCAGAATGCCCCGCGCGCGCACGCTGGGAGGGGCGGTGGCCAATGGCGCGGCGCCCCGCTGCCGGCTCCCCCCGGAAGTGACGTCAAGGGCCCCCCACGTGAGGCGATTGCAACACATGGTGCGCGGCGCGGGGGAGCGCGAGCACCGCGTGCGACGTCAGCGCCGCGCGCCGGGGGGAGCGGGCACCGAGCGGCGGGGCCCGACCGGCACCGGCAGCGCCCGGGACACACCCGGCCCCAGCGCCCCGCGCCGCGCCGCCCGCCCGCCCCGCGCCGCGCCCGCCGCCGCGCCCGCCGCCGCGGGAGGAGCAGGAGCAGGAGGAGGAGGAGGAGGAGGAGGGAGAAGATGGCGGACGATCCCAGCGCTGCCGACCGCAACGTGGAGATCTGGAAGATCAAGAAGCTCATCAAGAGCCTGGAGGCGGCCCGCGGGTGAGCGCCGGGCCCGCCGCCCCGGAGCGCCGGGTGTCCCGGCTGGAGCGGGGCCGCGGCCGGGGCGCTGCCCGGGCCCGCCCGGCGCGGGGGGGACGGGAGGCGCAGCCCCGGCCCGGCCGCCCCTGCCCGGCCCCGGGGCCCTTTTGTGCGGCCGCTCGGGGCCGGGGCTCCGCGGGGAGGGCGGGCAGGGCCCTGCGGGGCGCGGAGAGGAAGCGTGACCGCGCTTCCCGCACGGGAAAAGGGAAAAGGGCCGCGGCTGCCCCGGGCTCCGCCGGCCCCGGCGCGGCCCCGCAGCTGCTCCCGCAGCCGGCCCCGGGCGGGGCGGTTCCCCCCGGGCCCGGTGAGGGTGGCACAGGTGCGTGTCCCCGGTGCCCGCCCCGCTCCCGGCCCGTCCGGCCGCCTCGTGCCAGCTGGCACCGAGGAAAGGCGGATTCCAGCCGGAGGAGACGCTCCTCTGCTCCTCGTGCAGCCCTGGGCTTCTCCCAAGGCAGCGGCTGGGCCGGGGAAGGCGGCGGGGTAAGGGCAGGGAGGCAGGGGCTGAGGCAGCACTTATTCGGTGCTTTCCTTACCGACAGTTATTTGATCGTTCTCACCCCTTCCCCTCCCAGCGAAGGTGCTCTGCTCCATTTCCCTGAAAACAAGCTCTACCAGAGTTTGAACAGTGGGAAGTTTAAAGTCTCTAATCCCGCTTTAATCCTTGCATTTTAATTTATTTTTTTGCCCCCCCAGAATGTCTGTTCCTGCAGCCTGCCCCGTGCCAGAGGTGCCTGTTTGAGAGGGCAGCTTGGCAACGCTGGTTCCATTGGTTGGGAACCCTCTTGGGCCCGAGGAATTGCAAGATCTTGGGGTTCTGAGGCTGTAAAATAGCAGAGAAAGTGTGTCTCAGCAGACAGCCTGATAAAATAAAAATGAAGGGTCACTCCTTAGCCACCCTTGTGGCTCCAGTTTCCACAGGCTTACCTGAACAGGTGTTGCTGTAGCTGGGGCAGCGCTGGCATCGTTCTGTGACCCCCCAAAAGCCTGGGCCAGCTGGCAGAGGCCAAGCTGCTGTCTCGCCATATCCTTAGTGCTGGTGCTTGTTCTGTGTGTAGTGTGAGCCTGTGGAGTTGTTCAGCTGAAAACTAACCCAGGCAGAGAGGAACTCGAGCCACAGATCTCCCTAAATATATTTCACTCTGATTTATGGTGCAGCTGTGCAGGGATGGTGGGTGGGAGAGGGGAGTGGGGTGCCTGGGCTGCCCTTCCCTGTGGCACAGTGGACTTTGGCTGCCCCAGCTGATTGCTGGGCTGTGCCGGTGCGTGGTGTGGGCAGCACGGGTTGTGCTCACAGGGGTCCCAGGAAGCTCCAGGCATCCTCTGGAACTTTTGACTTTGCTTTGTGTAAAAGCACTGAGGGAGCCTGGGTGGGTTTTAGAAATGTAGGATTGGAGTTTTGTCTCTCCCTGGCTTGAACTGTGCCCAGTTCAGTGTCAGCTCTGGTGTTGTTTGGGATAGATGAGTGTTGCAGAGAAGTTTCCAGCTGGTATTGGAGCGCTTCTGCGAGGCCCAGGGGCAGGTGTCTCCTATGGGTATCGGCTTTCTGGGGCCACAGCCCAGATGTCTGCCCTGAATTCCCTCTTCCAGTGATCCCTGGAACAGCTCTGGCTGTGCAGTAGAGATGTCATGGGCATGGTCAGATCCCCTGGTGTGCTGATTCTGCTGTCTCTCAATTTAATCTGTGCCAGCTGCTAAAGCAGCTCCTGGGGAAGGGGGTGCTGGTGCCAGCATGTCTTCTCTGAGCAAGGTGGTGCTGGTTCGGTGTCTTCTGGGAGTCTCAGCCACAATTGTCCTGGTTTGGGTCCAGTAAGGAGAAGAGGTGCTGCAGCCTCAGCCCCCAGCAGGCTCAGGAGGTGTGGGCAGTGGAACAGGCTTTTCCGGCCTTTGGAGAGTCGCTTCCTCTTCCTGTGGAGTAGGAGGACCTGTTCTGGGGTGGGTTAGGGGGCAGAGCCTTCCAGCAGGGTGATGTGGAGGGCCAGGGCCTTGCTGGCGTCCCCACCTTCCCTTACTCATGTGCTCCATTAGTGACCCAGCAGCAGTGTCCCAGTTTCAGTGCCGGCTGTTCCTGCAGGGGATCAAAGGGATGGGAAATAGAGGAAGCTGGAGTTAGATGTTCCCTTGGCATGTGGTGGTTGGGGCACCTCTGCTGTGATCCAGCTCTTCTGGTAAAATCTCAGTGGAGTCTGAGGGGTTTTAACAAAAGTCAAGTGAGCAGGAGAGCGAGGAAGTGCTTTTATGGGATTGATGAGGAAAGGGGCAGTGCTTGGTCAGGGCACCCAAGGGAAAGATGAAAACCTCAGCTTTCCCAGAAGCTGATCAGCTGGAGGCCAGCAAGGCTAGGTCTGCCTCTCAAACCTGGAGGTAGGTAGCATCCTAGCAGGAATGGCCTGTGTTACTTTCCCAGCCATGCTAAGGAAAGCTGGCTTTCTCACTGATCCCTATAGAAAGAATCTGTCAATTCAAAACAATGAAAAATAATTTTTAACTCCCTGACCCCACCTCAAAGCCCTGTCTCTGCTGACAGGAATTAGAAGGAGCTGTTATCTGTGTATTGCTTCCCAAATCAGAAGTTATCTCCTTCCAGCTCTCCGAAGTTGAGTTGCAGACTGTGTGATCCTGTACAGAGTGGCTGAATTGGTGTTTCTGATCTGGGGAGGTGGAGGAGGGCAGCTGGGCTCTGCACAGGGTGTGAGGAGGAGCAGAGGGGCCAGTGGAGCACTGCAGGCAATTAACCTTTGAGGTCAGAAGAAGATGGGAGTAAAAGGCTGCTGCTGAGCCAGTTGTGGCCTTGTCAGAAGTTTAACCTTGTCGTTCATCTCGGAGGGCTTGGAGCGCTCAGACTTTCATCAGACAGACATCTCTGCTTCTCCCCTGCTGAGGGATTCATTCTGCTTTCAGTCCACACTTCAGTTTTGTGGAACAGATTTGGGGAAGCACTGGGCCCCCCAGAAGCTGCAGCTGTGTCTTTCTCTGTGGAGCTGCAGCAGCCCAAGTAGAAGCAGCATTAACCACTCTGGTTTCCTTTATCCTCTCTCTCGGGGCTTTTCTGCTGTTCCTTCATGCAGTTTTCCAGTGTCAGTGCTAAACTGACAATCCCTCTTTGTTCATTTGGTCTCTGCAGTTCTAAATAGTTAGCTGGCCTATGGGCAGGGTTTTTTGCTAATCTAAGCTGTAAATGCTTGGCAAAATCAAGTATCAGCAGCAACTAGCAATCTCTTTGCTGGGAGAGGACCTGAGATGTCACATTGGAATCATGTTTGGAAACTTCTCCACATCTTAGAAATGCTTTCTTCTGCAGACATCTCTGCTTGGAAATAGTACTGACACTTCCCTGGCCAGATGGGCTTCCAGATGCCAGATGCGAGTGCAGCTGGTGCAGGGTGTGGAGCTCGCTTACAGTGGCAAAACCTTCAGGAACCTGCTCTCTGGAGACATCTCCCCTGTCCTGAGCAGGAGCCCTTGTTGGTTATTTTACTGGAACAGGAAAAGAGGAGGTGAAGATCAAGGTGTCTCTCAGGGCGCTGTCTGCAAACACAACTGAGGCCAGTGTGTGGAAGAACATTTGGGTCGAGCAGGGCAAATGCAGAAACAAAGTCTGAACAAGTAACTTATTCTGGTTATAACTGGAAGAAACATTTCAAAGCTGAAGGAGGGAGAAATGGCAAGAGAAGGTGTCTCCAGAGTCTTGGGAGGAAAGCAGAGTGTTGCAGTTCCTACCTGGGTGTGGATTCTGCCATGTTGAGACTTCCATGTACTATATGGAAGAAACAAAAAGTGAGAGAAATAGTCACTGTGAAGGACAGAGACCTGAAAATACATGAGGGTTCCTGCTAAGAGAGACCTCATTCTGCTTGAATTCCTGGAAAAGGAGACATAGTTCTGCTTGAGGGTGGACAAGCTCACCTGTTGCTTAGACAGAAAAGATTTGCCCAGCATAATTTGCTGATGGGTTCTGTTGCAGTCTGTCTGGAATCTTGCTGGTCCTGATGGAAAAGCCCAGCCTTGGAATCAGCCACACACTGCTGCTGTTTCCCAGCCTTGTGGAGCAGGAGGCTGTGTTTCTCCACACCTTGTTCTGGGATGGTGCTGCTGTGGGACCAGGCAGTGTGGCAGGGCTGAGATGTGCCTGGACAGCCTGGTGGTTCTGGGGAATAAGGGAGACTTGACCTTGTTCCATGGTGAGGATGCTGGGCCTTTCCAGAAGTGTGCTGAGAGCCTACCTGGCTGTGAGTTAACACCGCCGTGGGCATGGCTGCAGCAGCTCCACGGCCGGGGGCAGGCAGGAGATGGCTGGGACTAGTGACAGGTGTGTCCTGGACACCTTTGGCTTGTTCCCAGCTTCTTTTGAACCAGGTCCTGGGGAGCCAGGGTTCTCTGTGCTGCCTCAGTGAGCTCTGTGTCCCTCCTGGCTAGGCAGGGCTCCTGCAGCACTGTGCTGCGTGTGATCATTGTGCGGGGACAACTGTGGGACAGGGTCATGGCCGAGTTAACCCCAGTGGGGATTCTCTGCTCGTACAAGACACAGCACAGCAGATTTAGGGTGTGCTCCTGCTTCAGTGTGATGCCACCACCATGCCCAGGCAGGTACCAGAGCAGCTCTTGGCTCAAGGGGGTGTCACACACCAGGAGGAGCATTTGGTGAGTTCTGTCAGCACTGACGGGTGTCTGCCAGCACTGCCAGACATGTGTCAGTCCAGAGGCTCCCTCCCTGCTCCCAGCCTGGCAGCAGAGCTCTTTCCCTGCCTTCTTCATCAGGATCTGTTTGTTGTTGTGGCTGTGCCTCGGGTCTGAGCTTCTGGTTTCTGTAGCTTTCACCCTTGGATGGGGGTATGATGGCGGCCTTGCCCCAGGCCTGGGTGAGCAGGTCCATCTGGGAAGGGCAGAGCCAGGCGAGGGTGGTCCTTGGCTTTCCAACTCGTGCCATGGTATTTAGGTTGCAGTGCTGTTACGTTGTGCTGCTG